AATGGATGTATTTATGTTTTCGAGAGTCCTCGAAATCTCTCACTAAATCGTAAAAACGGTCCTCTTCAATTATTTCACACTAAAACACAAGACAATGCAAAGCACAAAACTCAGTATAGTAAACAACCAGGTTTATATGCCTAATATATATGAAGTTCTATGTAAGCCAAACAGACCTAGCCTAAGCCTTAGACTAGTACTCACTTGTACATCTCCCATGATTCTGGCGTTGGATATATTCGAACGAATTTCCCCCTTCTTTTGTATTCCTCCTTAGCCTCTCTGATCATCCGCAGCTCTTCGTTTGATAGCCCTTCGATTGATGTCTTTCGTAAGTCTCCAGATGACGTAGTAGGTTTGATATCAGTACTGCTGCTTGAGAAGGACCGGTATCTCTGTGAATCAAGATCACTTTGTTTCATGAAATTCGAAGATTATTCCAATCATCACGGAATTAAATCAGTAAACAACACTGGCCTCTCAAATGAATCCAATAACGCTTTTATTATGAGTTCAAAAATTTTGTAGAAAAAATTATAAACATAAAAAGTAGAGGATTTCTTACAAAAATGAGGCTTCACTCTGCTTTAAATAAACCTCAGCCTTTGCCTGTGATGTTATCATAATGATTCAGACAACTTGGTCGTTTTGCAACGAAGGTAGGCTGGTAAAACATTTATAACACAATCTGTTGGGTGAATTTTAATAGTCAATTAAAATTGCATTGATAAATAAACTTTTTTACGTTTCAAAGGTATCTACAATTTACAAAGCTAGAATCATTGATCGAATTCATCAAACAAAATTTTTTTTTCTCAAAAATTGCCCATTACAATTACTTTGATTTTTTTTATTTTTATTAATAATAACAATAATATTAATAAATTTTTATTATCATTTTTATTTTAATTATCACTCTAGTTATCTTATTATATTACTTTTATGAATAGTTTAAAACCAAATACTGTTTCTCTATTAGCCATTACCTGTGGAAGGCTGCGTGCCGATAACGAATTCTTTCTTCTATCTGGCTTGACTGTAACTGGGTCCTTTGCAATAAACCCTATTCAAGACAAAGAATCAGTTTTCAAATATGCCTCTCTAAGCACTGCCATAGATTAGTCAAAGGACTCCAGAGCCCAAGAATTCTAAAGGGCAGATGCACGATCAATGCCTTTCATTAGCCTTTGTCTACTAAAGGAAGGTTTAAATAGTGTGTGGCTAACCCTTCTTTCTAAACTTCAGTCAGGTAGATACCTCATAGGCCATGTATTCCAAGGTTGGGAAACTTCAACTTTTACAATTTTCTAGTCAACTTATAGCAAAATGTTGCCTTTATTAGACTCCTATACAACTTACTATTTATTCATCCTAAAAGATTAACGCCTTAAAAAAATGTCAAGCCAAATGCAAGGCCATATATAAGTCTCCCAACAAGCCAAGTTCTCCCCCCCCCATGTACCCTCAAAAAGCCATGCACCCTCAAAAAGCCTTGTACACAAGCCATCGCTAAAAACAGAATGATACCAATATCTATTAACAAACAAACATTTTCCATAGCATTACCAGTTAGATTGAAAAGGTCCGTCAGCAGGTTGGCCTTGATTTTCAAATCCAGTGGCGATTCACTAAGGAAAGAAACAATTTTCCATGAATGCTATAAATCAGAGTGAACTGAAAAAGATCGTCAAATTTGCCATCATTGATCTGAATCGTGTATTCGATAAAGCGTAGGACAGCGCATCAGAACTAGTACAATAGACTAAATGCCTATAATTATCTTGCTGCATCAGAGTGCATCAAACCTCTGGGTACCGTAAATAAGTTGAAGTCAAAATATCTAGAACTCGGGGAGGCTGGCAAACTGTCTGAAAACTAGTGACAGATAGTTCCAAAAAAAGGAAAGTGAATCATTAATAGCCACATAGTCATCTGGCTTAAGAAGAAATATGCGTAGCAACTAAACATTTGTATTTTTAACAGACATAATAATATGTATCTTTAACACTGTAAGGCACAATTTGACCAAAGATATGCCCCTCGTTATATGACTCCATACCCCTCGTTACAATGTATTTCATAACAAATATAAGCTAGAAATTAATTCACATTACCATGCTAAAGAAGGTGATAGGTTCACTTCCAACAACCATGGTTTCAAATCTTCATCAATGAGAATATCAAAGCCATAAAGTTCTGGATCAATCGGAAAAATAATATTACCATTATCAAAACCATTAAAAGATTTTGGGGCTTTCTTTGCAATTCTGTTAAACATGTAGTCACAGTTAAAGAGTTAGAGCTCTTGTGTTATAATTTGCATAAGGGTGGCATTTGGTTAAGAGCAAGGACTTTTTCACAAAATCCATGCTCAAGTAGGAATGAATTCCAAGCATTCAATCTGGTTAGACTTCTCTTCCAAAACAGTTTAATGGGTTATCCCCGAGAATACAGAATCTGGTTGTTCCTGGAACATTTTGCTATGTTTGCAAGTAAAAACGGGTGCAAGTGTAAACTGTTACTAACACAAGTATAGTTAAGCCCAGTATACAATCTCTTTGTACAGAGATATTTGTTAGCAAGAACATTTGGTCATCAGTAAATGAGGCAGGGTTACTACTTCCTTGTCTTACTACCTCAAGTCTCTAAAGTGTTGCCACCCTTTTACCCATTCAATCCTTGGTTGACAAAAGGCCAACCTAAAACTATGGGTTGACAATGTGAGCAAGGTGCAAAGTGCTGTCTGCCATAGAAAAAAAATTTCCTGCTTCTTTAGGTGAAAGATAGCCACCTGGTTTGAAATCCCATTATAAAAGAAGTCAGGCAAACAAAAATCAGCGGGAGCATTTTCAAACGTTTTTACTTTAACTGAATAAGATTGCTTCTTGGTATGAATTATTTAACGTCAAAACTCTAGAAAGCTTTTATATTATAGTCTTCTAATAGCATTTAGCAAAATTAGAGATAACCTTGCCGTTCACAAGTTCAGAAAGAACTATTTGCCTGTTTGGTAATTCCTCGTGATGTAGTGGTATGCAATGGAGGCATCGGGAGGTTTGTCAAAAATTTTCTTACTTTGGCATAAAAGTCCTTATTGCCAAATTTCAGTTCTAAAGGCAGCCGTATTTCCCCGTTGTTCTCTTACAGCTTTGAATCCAAATTCAGTTAGCCATATGGCATGCATAGGTAAGGCCTAATACCGAAAACTGCGTAGTAAATAACATCACTGCACAATCACTCGATGTCAAGCTCAATAGATGGTTCTAAAGACTGAGGGGTGGCGTGTAAAAAGGTGAGTCTACTGGACAACATTTTCAACTTCGATAAGACGGTTAAAATAACAGCGAATAATTATCATTATCAGCTTAAAGGAATGCAGTTTCCAAAATTTATTTGCAAATTACGTCATTCGGCAGCGTACAAGCTTGAGCAAGTCTAAATGCCAGGATATCTGTTATCCTGTAACAGTTATCGCTTCTCGCTAAAAACTCAGCAAAAATTGATAAGCATATTTCAGGTTCAAGTCGCATGCTTATTCCTAGGGTGTGAACTCACATTTATAAGTCCAATGTGAACCTAGCTAGGGTAAATGTGCAACAGTCTCCACTACCTGACAAATAACAGCGAGTTTGAGGATGTATGTTTTACAGCTTGTAAAAGCAAATAACAACATGACACCGAAAGTTTTCACTTTGTCTTAAGTTGCAGACTCTTAATTCATTCTTAACTGCTGAGACTTGCGGTTAAAATATTGATAGCAATAACTTAAGGGCTTCACATACCAAAACAACAATTCTTATGAGGTATGAACATCCTGCAAGCAGTTCCAACAGAAAATTCAGCTGACAGCAATGTTTTCACTATAACGTCCTCAATTCTGCTCATCAGTGCTAAAAATCAAGATTGTCTTGAATATTTAACAAATTTTTACCATGACAGAAATCGAAGTCAATAATTATCAATCTGGTTCTATCAAACTTCCAAAATTAACGCACAGATCTTGAATTTTGTAGCCTGATAAATCATGATTTGAAATTGATCAAAACGTCAGATAATCTCACAACTAAATACCTCCTTTATGTTTATCGCCATTAACATGAACTGACAAATTACGATCGAATGCGAAAAGAATTCTGCTTGTAATCAGAAATACAAGAATCTTATTTGCAATTTCATAATTCATGTTAAAAGGCAATAAATGGCGATAGTTATAAAAATAATAATTACAGAGAGGAACATTTTGAATAGCAGTACATCAAACGAAAAATTGTACAGAAATACAATGGTAAATCAGCAATACATTCAGATAGCAAATGTAACACAAAAATAATGACGTAATTTGCACAATATCATTTTTAGGTTTGATTTATATTATGGATTCCTAAGGAATAGATACCTTTCGTGTCAATGCCCTTGCTTTTGAGATGCCTCAGTAATCCACTGAAACTCCATTTACTTCCATAATTATCAACATCCGGATCATCACACCTTAAAACAAGAATCACAGGAAAAGCTTTAACCCAGAATCTGTTTCTAAAGAGTCAAAAGCGACAATAAAGATTTTAACTCAAGACCGAGTTGGAATTTCATATAGTGACCAATTAACCATATATTATATGTATTTAGAATAAAAGGTGAATTGTTAATGGATTCATATGACTCTAAATACAATTACTGCGCTTACAGACATACTAATAGCTAGCATTACTTGGGATTTTGAACGAATTACGAGAGGCTCATGAGCTATATGTACAACTACACTCTGCCTAAAGGTCACAACTTTTTAACTAAAATATTGTGTGGTTATTGGCGGAGTAGGTTGTGAATAATTAGAAAACAATACACCTTAGAGCCTTATTCAAAAAGTTCAGCATTTTCTACAACGGATAGCAAATTTGGCGTCACTGGTATCCGCTATATGAAGGCTTAGTCATTGATCAGTGGGCTACGCAGCAGTATCATCGGAGTTGTGAATGAGGCCTGTACGCAGTTCGAGGCTCTGGTCAGAAATTAATAAACACAACATGCCAGTTAAAACAAGCACATTTAACTGCGCGTTGAATCCTAGTGTGCTGTCTTCAAATACCGTATTTTGACAAAGGTTAAAGCCTTTGATGTTGCATTTATTGAAAGATGGACATGATGAAAAGCTTATTTGATGAAAAAATAATGACAGTTTACCTGATATAGTTCTCGTTATTTTTTTGTATGCTGTAATTAGTCAGATGCATCCACAAATTTCGAATATTGTTGAAATTCTTTTCGTATTTGACAGTTGAAAACCTGAAAATAAGAAAGGTAATGGTAAGAAAGATCTGTTAAAGACTCATTGCTAACAATGAGCCATTGCGCTATGTAAGCATCCCATAATGCATTTTTAGACTGTCTAAAATCAATTACTGCCATTGTTTGGACCGTCGCCACGCTCGCAAAGGCCCATTGTTAACAATGAGTCTTTAAAGACAGAAAGTTACAGAGATAAAGTAGATAGGTCAACTAGCAACTGTTGACGTAGTTTGTAAAAAGAGCAACTAAATACAATGACAGCAGTCAAAGATAGAAAGTAGTGGTCCGTTATAAAGGTGCATTGGATACCAGAGCTACTGACAGATAGAAAATAATAGAAAAATGCTTTAGTGGAAGGTTATCGAATAGGTAAACAGAAAAAAGGATTTGAAATCACAGGGCGAAAGAAAGACAAAAAAAGAGTGCAAAAGGAATTAGATACGGGACCACAGAATAATGTGCAATCGTTTTACTGACCACATGTTCTCGAATGCTAAGTTTCAAGAATACCTTGCTAATCCTTCTTTGTACATATATACAGTTAATGGATCGAATGACGTCACACCAACGTATATTCTACAGTCAAACTTGAAACCTAGAAATGAAGGAAAGCACATTTAATGCGAAATATCTTATTATCGAATTGACTAAAATGTGCCATATAAGGTATTTTGTGAGAATCAAAGTACGCATTCATTTGATTTTTATTGTTTTGTATGAACATAGTATTATCTGAAAACAGCCATATCAACCAAAAATTAATTAATTATCTCTATCAACCTTAAAAAATAAGTTTTAAATTGCTGAATATAGATCAGTGGCATAAAAGAGACATCTGGGGTCCTAAGAAAAAAACTGAGATGGGGCCCCTATTTACGAACTGAAAGAAAGTCCCATCCAAGGGTGCCCTAGATGCAAATATGATAACCTTTCTCGTTATCTTTTAGGGGGATCTGAATTATAAAAGCTTTAGTTGATAAGCCTTCTTGCGTATTTTTTATGTTTTTGAAAATGAGTTTGGGCGAAGTCTTTAAGACATGGTTATGAATATATGAATATAATCTCGGGGCCCAGTTTGGCCGGGGAGCCTTAGTTATCGAGCTTAGGTGCCCCAAACTACGTTACGCCGCCTGTATAGATACCACTCTTTGTTGATGCAGAACTTATGGAGGAAATAAAGTTGCTTTAAAATAATGGAAAAGAATATGTACCATCAACCAGCAATGGGCTCTCGATGTATCTGCAAACCAGCACTTGTTCGTCATAAGGAACCATATTTGCCTAAAGAAGTGTAGACAGCAAGAGTGACAGCTAACTCATACATTTCACAGCAACTTAAAAAACTTTCATTTTTCCGTTACTTTTATATTCAAGGGAGGAGGCTTATATGAAGACCCCCCTTCCCTAATTCACCTTCGTTAAGTTTATTGTGCGACAGGTCTTGGCATTAAAGGGGGTAACTGGAAATCAAAGAAAACGGTGGTCGTACAGCTTAATAATTGGTGTTAGTAACTGCATGATGATTGGGAAATGTCTTCTATTGTAAAAATTCTATATACGATTTATTCAATATTTCAGCAATGCTAAGTAACTAGTAACAATACTTAGTATTGCCATCTCCAAGCCCACTAACTAATAGGCAAGCATGAAGGGTCGTTTCAATACACGAAGAAGCATATGGCCTGTCTTTGGTAGAGTTTACATTTGCAGATAATAAACATTTCAAGCACATACATCTTTTATGAGAAAAATTCCTCGTCCTCTTGAAGATGCAACTGGTTTGACAATCCAAGGACCTTTGTCTTTTAGAAAAGCACCTAAAATGAAATTTAGTATTTTTGTTGGAAAGGAACAAGCAAACAGTCGTGTTTGTTACCTGGTCGGTATTGACTGAATTACTTTAATGAATGAAAAAATTTAACTGTTATAAGGGACCTGAAAATTTCGTTTTCTTGCTCACAGATTGTTAGGTCGAAATCTTTCTCCTCTAAATCATCATTGACCTGGAATATGTTCTACAAATGATTGATGCAAATATGCAATTATTCTGTCACATCATAAGTACATTATGTTATCCATCCAGATATCTATAACTAAGAGTTTGTGCGAACATGAAAAGATGAAACATACTGTGAAATTCTGATCTTTCAGATGGCAGCACAAAAAATGTCGGAATAAAGTCGAAGTGTCGAGTTCCCTTGAAAAAGAAAAATTGTTAGCAAAGACTTTGATGGCGTGTGTAGCAGATTCTGAAACATATAAACCAATCAATAAACAAACAAACAATGAAATAAACAAGCGACCAAACAAGCCTGCTATTCTAAAGACGTTCTTCTCCAAGGTTAAAATAAGACGAAATTTACAAAATCAATAAAATAATTAATGAAAATTGTAATAATTTAAATACTTTGCATTGTTGCATTCTTTGAACATTCCTGTAGAGTTTGTCCTTTCTTGTGAGCTCAAAAGACCTGAAACATGAAAAGGAGAAAGAAAATGCAAATGCGTGGCAAAAATGAGGCAATATAGGATTGCAGAGAAACAGGTTATAGACACAAGCCAATCACTTTGGAGAGGAGGCAAAGTTAAGCTCAAAAACAAGATCCCTACTGATCAAAGTGCCTACTTGTTCATCTTAAACATTGTAACGCCATCACAAAAATGCACCTTAATAACCAAAGCCCATAACATATCTTAGATAGAAAATATGAAATGTAAGTATGAAAGGATAGATAAATTAAAAATAATGCAAATGTAAATTGTACTGTATCACCAACGTTAAAGAAAAAAATAAATCTAAACTGCATGATGAATTGAAAACATTTGGCAGCAATTATGAAGCTTTGGCTGTTTTACAAAAGCGTTCCTTTAAACGCAACTCATAAATCATACCTAAAATATATATTTACCTTGGGAAGTGATTGGCTTTTTGAAATTCTCTAAGGCCTCGTATTGTGTACGGTCTAAAATGGCCACCAGACCACAGCAGGTTGAAGTTATTGCTATGAGGATGGGCCTTTGGAAGAAAAGATGCAGAAGTTTTGTATCAAAAGACATGCATTACCAAAACAGTCGAATAAATTAGGCAAATCTTTATTTCAACTATACAGTCAGTTAGCAAAATAAGTTCTCATTTGAAATACATTCCTTCATAACTATTTGAAACAAAAACATATCCTGCATAAAAATGAAAAGATTGCGAAAGATCCCAACAATAAAAGCTTCAGTATCGAACCATGAAGTACAATGATGTATCGCTTTCTAGAATCTATAATTTCAGATTGTGTTACGAGGAAACACTCGAGACTAAAAGGAATCTACAGAATACAAGCTTATGATTTGTTTGGAGGTAAACTCTGTTTACTGCATATGCCGTAACAGTTTTCTTACAACACAGTGTCCTACGTTGAAACTTGTATTGACCTTACTTGGATTTATTACAATGGTCACTGTAAGCTGCTCACAACATGTATCCACACAGTCATACGTAGATTCTTTACATGAGGTACTTAAAAATTCCATTAGCTATGCATCGGTATCCTTTAAGCAATTTTAATTCCGTAATACACATTCATTCCAAGCAAAAATGCAATACAAACAACCAATCCAAACATAAACTAAGAGGTCTGCATCTAATTTGTTGTTTGGGTTTATCAATTATTCATTAACGACATAGATAATCTTAATAGAAACTCTGATATCATAAGTTAGTAATTACTGTTTCTCATAGCTATTTCTTTTCGGCAGCTTTAAAGTGAAGCAACATGAAGATCTTCTAAGCCTCAATATTAATTTTGACACACAGTGTTTTCTCTTGCACCTACTGGGCTTTGACTTGCTTGCTGTGTGGCAAATGCGCATACATCTCGATTTCCACACACAGATACTAATCACAAGACCCTTTGTGTTGAAATCAAGATAATCAAGTGAAACTCAGTTTCTCTTTCAAGATACCTTACCTCTATCCAAATAATCTCTCAAGCTTCAGCTTCCTTTCTTTAATGTGAAAGATCTAATTCAATATGATCTGATCACTTCTTAAAGACGTGAACAGACCACAAATACTAATCCTTCTGAAATTCAAAGAACTTTACCCTTGCTCAAAAATATTAAAAAGCCTTTACAAACATCTGACACTTTTTCCAATGTGATTCAAAGGAATATGGGCTGATGTTTTAAATAATGCTTTAATCATTGAATCCTTGTGTCTATTACATTACTCAGATAACTAGCCCACTGAACATAGATTAATTTCTTTAGCAAGAAGATATTTTTGCTACCACTGCATTGTAAAATATTTCAATACATATTTTAGATTTTAAGTAAATATTCCCACAGCACATACCTCTTTGTATCCATGTGCTGCCAAAATTTTTCTCACAATTCTGCTTTCTGTCCGAACAAATTTAAAAGTCATATGGTACTGTTCTGCATGAAAAAGACAAATAATAAAATTTGAGATAAATCATATCTTTTACATCAATGATCTGTAAGCATGATGTTATTAACAACAAAGTAAATTGAAAATTATATTAGATTTAATTTTTTATTGCAAATATTAATGCTGCTTGTCTTTAAGGTGAAAAGTTCAAAGACCATAAAAGGTTTGAAACATGTTTTCTGCTTTTTCAGATGGGGTGGCATGGAAAAGAAGGACAGAGTCATATAATAGTCTCTAGACATCTAGCCTCAGCTTTTGTACATTGAAATCCTCTGCATCTCTAGGCAAATTTGCATTGAACTAAAAATCCAAAATTAAAACAAATTGTTTGTCCATAGCCACAAAAGACATACATAAAGCAGGGTATCAAAGAAATGGATCTTCAAAAATTGGATCAAATTCTGAAACAGGCAGAGTCCTTTTATTAACTTACTATTTAAAAAGAGCTAAAAGATTAATACTATCAATAAGAGAGTGTCATCTCTACATGGCTGCCATTGAGAACAAATTTCAGAATTTTATCCAATTTTAGAACAGCCATAAACTTGATACAGTTTGGAATCGGGACCCAAAATTTGGCATTTTTCTCTTTCTCTATGTAAAGAAGTTAGTCAAATTTTTATCTTAAAAATACAGGCATACACTTTTTTAGTTTTGAAAAAAATACAAAGAAATAGTTCTGGAATACTGACTATTGCTATTTTCAAATTTTGCCATACCAAATACATATTTATACATGACTCCCTAGTTTTTCAGCCTGATATCATCTCCCTAAAGAATGCCAGTGTGTTGGCACACAGGTGGTGCACAGATGCACAAAGAAAAAATATTCTTTTCCACAAGAAAAAACCAATTTCCAGCATTTTCAACTTTCTATTTTTAACCCTTAAATCTCCATTTTTCCCACCCACTACCCTAAAGAGCTTTTGCTGTCCCTTGCAATGAAAAAAATATTTTTAACTTCCTCGCTTTTATCTCAAATAATTGGAAATTTTGTCTCTTGTATTATTTGTAGAAAAGGCTGCAAAATAAATTTGACTGCATTACCTCCTTAAAATAAATAAAATTTATTTTGCCAGCTGGTGATAAAACCAAGCAATTTAAATTAACAAATGTTCTAAAAAACTCACTGATCACTTCATATTCTTTAAAAGGTGCTCCAACCAGAAGGGATGCAACTGAGAAATTCACCAATGGTGTCCTTTTCTTTGTACCACTCCAAAGCAGCATCGAGTAACTGGAAAATTATCAAAGAGCTCAGAATAATGGAAATAGTAGTATAAATATTTTCAATAAGAAGATATCCCTCTGCCATTTAATGAACAATTTCAGACTATTGATCAAAAAATGATTAAACTTGCTTCTGAAACTACTTTAAGATATAAGCTACATGAAAGTTTCATTTGAGAAATTCATTCGAATGTTGAAAAATAGCTTACCATTTGCCTACTGTAAAGGGTTTGCCCAATTTTTAAAGTTTGCCTTGCAAATATAAACTGTCCAAGGCATAAAGCCTCCTCCAAAGTTACCTAAAGCCTCTCTAATGTTTTCAGTGTTTGGGAGACAAAACTTTTAGTCCTTTGTTTTGAAACAATACCATCTTAAACCAATCAGTGTTGCGGGGTCATAGCACATGCACATTAATAACAGTGTTCGCACAGCTGTTCTGTCTGTGACCAACTCTCAAACTCCCCGCCAGGGCTTCAAGTGATAATGGGCATGTGCAATGACCCTGAAATGGGGACTAGTGGATGTCTGGAAGACGGGCATGATTCATCTCATGAACAAGTCGAAGGGTTCTAATCTGCTATGACAAGGAAAAGAGGAAAGCATCTAAATGATAATTTTAGTGTATTGCAGTCAAGCAGTCTAACTGCTTAACTACTTGTCACCAAAGCATTAATTTGTGTGGTGATAGGATTCAGCCCAATCTCCAATATTTTACATCTTATTTAAAGAGTCAAAAATTCACAATGTAAAGTTATTTGTTGTGATATACCTTTTATTTTCCTTTTCTCCTGTTGTAGCATTTTGACAGTTTTCTGAAACACACTTTATTATTTCATTTGAGACAGTACCATCATCCTCATATTCACTGTCTTCCTTCATTATCATGGACAAGTTCTAAATAAAGGTATTTCATTCATAATTTTACAGCATACATTTTCAAACTCAAATTCATGTAATTCAGCAACATATTTATAATTTATCAAATATAAATTAACCAAAGATATATTGATAAAAGATACAAAGCTAAAGATCAATGAATACAATATTCTCTGTCTAATTACAATTTGTAGTAAGTTGCCCAGGACACTGAAAAACCAGACATGTTTTTTAGCCCAGTACCCTGATAAACTTTGTCAAATATCTTCAAAGTTCCACAAAAATTTTACATTTTCTAAAGGCATTTTATTGGGCCATCTTAAGATTCCAAACCAGATTTTAACATCTCCCTTCATAGGAGCTCTTGGTGATGTTATATGACAGATATAGAGACATTTGTGACACTTCAATCATGTTTCATGTCTACACAATCAGTTCAAACAGCACAAATAAATGATAAACAAGTAAATAAACCTTGTCCTAAATTTTCCAAATTTTACTTCCTTGGAGAGCTTTTTCTAACAAAGTTATCATATTTGGTTAAGGTAGCATTTCAATTTTTCATGTAATTGCAATTTGATACCTTCATACAGGGATAAGTTTAAATAATAAATGTAAATTGCTTTTCAAACTTCATTTCCTAAGATTATATCTTTATGGTTATAGGAAATATTTCAATCGATGTTGTTATGCAGTTGATCGTATAAGATAACTGATAAAAATTATTGGATTGAAATTGTTTTGTCATATCATCATCTTTATTAAAATTCTTCAAAGCAGCAATCTTTCTGATTTAGCAAATGTGTACATTTTCATCCTTTAAATTTTGTTTACAGAATTATATCATAAGCTTTCGAAAATTAGTTTGAATTTTTCTTTGCCTAACTTGAAGCACACTTTTAGTATTTGATACATTATTCTTATTCATGATGAAAATAAGGGGGCCTGGCTACGAAAATCTGTCTGTCTTCCGTTGATTTTCTTGTTACTGGCTTCTAAATATCAATCCTCCTTAAAGATTAGATTGATTCTTCCATTTCAATAATGTTTTAATCTGCTTAGGCCTAAAGTTTTCAGGGTCACTAACTTGTATTTATTCCACTTCCCTTTTATTTAGTTCATACCCCACTTGTTGTTTTTTGAGCTTCTTATTAATCTGCATATTCGTAACTGGTGGTATCATATTGATTGAACAAAAACCATACCTACCAAACATATCAAAAAAGGAATTCATAAGAATCTATGACCAGCAAATGCTAATTTAAGCAAGTGTAAGAGAAACATCAATTATTCAGTCCTCCAGTCTGTCTGTTGATACAACAGATCGGTCCGTTGCGAACGAACCTCTGCGTGTAACTGCGTTGAGTTGAATTGAATGTTGCCGCGCAAACATTTTGAAAACAGAAACACCATTATGAGGCTACCCTTGTGGAAAGTAGAACTCCAAGGGGCTGGAACCTCTCGAAGTTGTCTAGTTTCCATATTGCTCGACCTCATGACGTAATTAATTTACCCTAAACCTAACCCCAACCCTAACCCTTTACTTGAAATAATTAATCATGCTAATTTACGACTATTAATTATGCTTATTTATGACTATCAGGTTGAGCAGTTTGGAAACTAGACAATTCCGAACTTCTCAGGGCAAGTTGTATGTTTTTATTTCTTCAAAGGGGGCTTCATTCACAGGGAGAGGCTGATAAGTTTTTGACAGTATTATCTGTATGGCTACATAAGTTTAAATTTTCTATGTTCAGCGATATAAGTCTTATATAATAAGAAACATTTTTAATACTAGATTGTTATGTTGTAAAATCTGTTGGATGAGTTAACTTAGATTAGTTCAGAATTTCACTACTAAAAGTCTTTATAAATATCTTCGTGATTATTAAAGCCATTATCCTTGCTGTCCTCTTTAAAAACAAGGCACAGATTCACATTTCAGTACCGGGGCACTCATAAAGTTCTTCAGTGGGCACTCATTCGAAGGGAAGGGCGCTCAAGGGGTAAAAAGCTCTTGCCAACGGCGTATGAGATTTTCATAAACACAAAAGGGTTTCCAGGATTTTCAAATGAAACAATAGGAGTTTTAACAAAGGTGTAGCAGATTTTCATGGAGTGATTTGCTCCTCCAGGGCACTCATTCAAGAAATTGTGATAAGTTTATAAGACAAACTTTCAGCATTCAAGTACTCGCGTTCAGTACCACGAAGTGATTCGCTCGCAAAATAATTATTTTTTTCCATTTTTTTCTGATTCTAAACAAAACCTTCATCAGCAGAATTTTTTTCTTCACTAAAATATGGTTTTTAACCCTTAATAGAATTGTTAAGTGAAATATATTCTTCAATTTCAAATTTGACTTTTTATTCTATAAGAAAAAATTCAGCTATTCGAGATCGACTGAGACCAGCACAGGCCCTTGTGTTATCAATTACCTTTATTTGATTTGTGCTCAACAGATTTTAATGATACCACTTTACCACTTTATTGACTGAGTTGCTCTTATGAATTTATTGACTATATTCACAGTCTTGTCGAATGCAAATATGCACTAATTCTGAAAAACATTGCTCTTGCCATTCCTCAAATGAAAATTTTCTAGCAGTCTTAAATGGTGGAAAGTTTCTAGAGAAATTGATATTTTCTTTGTTGAAAATTTCGGAGCATTTGAAATATCAGTTTGTGGCTGAATGCCAAATAATTTTTTTGAAGGATTGATCATATATATATAAATATAGGGTTACCTTTGTGTTTGATACATTTGTAACATTTGATGTCTACTCATATGCAACCTGTGCTGTAAGGTTATCGAGGCTGAGGATATAGAGCCTCGTTTTGTCACTAGGATTCGAGTTACGCTATCATATACATAATTCCATTAACATAGTTTCACTCGATCAGATATTCCTTTGAGCTTTCTGTTAACATCGTTGACATGAAAACGACCTTTGTTTATTCTTCAAAGTTCATCACAGCTGCTTATAGAGTTACATTGGAATCGCAAGGGGATTTGATTAGATTTGGCTAATTTATCGAGAATAGGCTGGCCAACGTGATCAGACCTGCCCTCCTTTAAAGAAAACGCTGAGTAAGGCAGACGAATTTATTGAAATCCGTTATCGCATTTGCTGAGATGTCATAGAGTTTGGAAATGTATACAAATATGGATGAACACTTTCGGGTGATGCAAGATTATCTAAAACAATATCCATTCGGTCGTGTGATTTAATATGCATGATAATCAATCTCGGTTTTGAATAGGATTTCGACAATTTCTGAATATCAACATTTTTTAGGAACAAGGGCGGAAAAGCAGTAATTAGTTTAGCAAAGTTTGCTTATCTCATTATGTCGCTCTTTGAAAAACATTTGCCAAATGTCGGAATAACATTTCGATTTCAGAGCATGATTTGCTGATAAGTAAATCCGCACTTAAACGGATAAAATTCTAGTGTCTTGCTTCAGAAGATATCTCACACACTAGTCTGATTGCAGTATTTAAGGTCTGCTAATGAAAAAGAATACACCCCTTGTAGCCGCAAAACACTGCGCATCTAAGTTGAGACAAATATCAACGTACAGCGATAATCGGTTTTGGTATGGTCAGAATAATTGCATTCACACAATGATCTTCATAGCCAAGAAGGCGGGACAACTCCAAATTATGTTTACAGCACGACTAGGCCGCAAGAGACTGAAAGAATAACCAACGTCGACTTTATCTTTCTTATTTAGCTTCTGTATCATAGATTTCTACAAATAATCCACACAATCTCAGGAGCGTTTCAAATTTAGGTAATTAATTGAGTAATGTGGACTTAATGCTGAGAAGAGTAGGATTTAAGAATCAAGTGAAGGATGATCACCTGTGAACCTTAAGAAGGATATTTTTCGTTCTTCTAGGCAAGGATTATTTCTTGTCGTTGGTATCAAAGCATGATGAAAAGTCGTATTGGAGTGGAATCATTCAAGCGTTAAGCTATAATTTCACCTATGAAAATTGATTTCTGATCTGGTTGGCAGTGTCAAATTCTTTGTCAGCAAGCTGGAAAGTCAGCTTAAACTTACAACATATATTAAGGCTTAGCAAAAGTGATAATTTCTTGCAGCTTTGTCTTGAACTTCAAAATATACCAGATTTATAACAACAAATGAGTATGTAATACATTTGCGAATCCATGATTGCACTACTGAGAACATATGAAAACATGGGTTGTTTGCTTAAATAATGATATAAAATGGGGAGCGTTTTTTTTCTTTTCAGGCGTCTTTTCAACAGTAAAAATGTTTTCGATGCACTTATTGTTATATCTATCAAGGAATTATTAAAATTCGTTCTACTGTTTTGTCGAGCAATAGTTGCGTAAAACTTTCCATTGCTACGATAAAAATCCATGTTTCCTCGACCTCGTTCCGATTTTTTTGCTTTTTTTTAACTAATTTGCACAGTAAGCAAAAACTACTTTTTTCACACATGTTAAAAAGAAATCAGAAAAATATGATTTTGAGACAATTATGAAGGAAAAAGCATAAAGCTGTTGGCAGTCAACATCATAACGAGATATTGCCTGAATGGTATTTTTCAAATAAATCTTAAAATATTTTACTGCTTCTCCTTGAGCCACAGTGACCGTTTGAGATATATTGTGTCGGATAGCCTCGTTGATAGCCTTTATGGATAGCCATTATGGATAGCCATTACGGATAGCCATTATGGATAGCCATTATGGATAGCCATCTTTCCATTTGCATATACTAAAAAAAGGATGACTTTCGTAACAATGTAAAGGTTGTTAAGGTTTGAATTCATTAGCTGCTTTAAATGTTCACTTGTGACTTTTGTAATCCATAGCAGTTAAATTAAAAGAAGAACAACAATGAATCTAAGCGCAACTTTTTCATCCTATTTTAATGATTGGATTGCATTTATTGTCCTACCCAGTAAGGCTCTGGTGATCACAAGAATCATTGTTTACGTGCTAAGGCTGGGTCATGTTGAATCCAACAAAATTTTTACAATCTCATTAGCAACCACTTGATCGACTGTAATCTTCCGTGTACGCTAATCTGCAAAAATATTTCCTCCCTCTTCCCTGCTTTTCGTAAGATTAATGTAGCAAATAGTTTTTGTGCTGCAAAGAAATTATAAATTTCGTTGCATTTCATATTGCTAATATTTTAATTACAGTAGAAAGGCCAATATAAATTGAGACTACTGAATTGGATAACAGGGTATCAAGCCCTTAGGATACAAAAAATAATGCACTGATACTCAGGATATATTTAATAAACACTTTTCTTAGATGTTTGATTTAAATCGAAGCAAACAAATTCAGTTTGGTTTATGATTCAGCGATTGCATTCTTTCTGAGTTAGTTTATCCTCTGATAGTCTAAACTACTTTGGTCAGTCGTCTTGGTACCAAGATTCTGTTTTCAGATTTGTACTTTGCTTTCTACCTTCAGTATTTCTATCAGTTTTCATGTTTACTTCTTTATATTTTGTATATCAAAACTTAAACTGCGCACAGTTCTCTTTTTGTCAGATTTAAAATTTTGTCTCATATGTTTTATCTAGAGAATTATACTTTGTATGTAATAATACTAGATTAGAATTAAAATCAACCTTTATCTTTCTTTCAGAATGGAAACTTCCTTTTTAACGGTCTGTCAAATAGTTCTCGATGCAGTATAAATAGCAGAGGTGCCCACGCTCTGGTGTATCTAACAGGAAGGTTCTAAGTTGCGAGTTCGAGTTTCACACCTGATGTTATCATCAGGTAATTTTGCTCTCTGTGTGCAGGTATTATTGTCTTTAGTGTTTACTAGAGGTATCGAGAAAATCAATTGCTTGTGGAAAGGTTATAGAATGTAATATTGACCTCTAAAACCTTGAAAAAATGATCATGAAAAGTCAAGTACGTTGAATAAGGCTCCTAAAACAAAAGGGATTAAAACGCAGCTCCAAAAGCTTTTTCCCTATCTTTTACAAAAGTTTTCAAAATTAAAAGTAGTTGCGAAGTGAAATGTTTTGTTCTTTTTTCTTTTAAGCTTCAATGGAAGAGCCATGTACTTCGTTTCTTTCAGTATCATTTTCAATATCTTGTTAGCTGGACTGGAGGTGAAAGGACAAATTGCGCTCGCAAAGCTATGAAAAATTTCTGACCAGGAATAGTAATAAGGTGTTTAATCAAAGTATTGCATTGAACGAGAAAATGAACAAGCATATGGATAGCCATGAAAATTTAAACTATGGTTGACACGACAGTAGTTTCTTCCCCAAATCGCTTCTTAGGAAGAAAAGAGCTACTTACTTTGATTTTTACTGGTAAAATGGATCGTCGTATTCTATCGTAAAATGTATCAC